CGAATTCCTCCAGGCTTAATGGCTGATTTTTGAACCCTCTGCCATTGTTGTTCGAGGATGATACTCAAAAATAGTTCTCCATGTATAGACATAAGAATGACAGCAATCCAATGACAGTGCAACGCAATTGCAAACCACAATATAGCTTAGCAGGTTTCCATTAGGAGAAAGAAATTTTGCCAAAACTGTCGGTAATGAGATCTGATGATAATGGATATGTCGATACTGAGTCCTTACCGTTCCATGCATTTGCGGAGACACTAGCATTAGAGCAACGAAACGGAAACTTATAAACACAATGCGGAAATACTTTAGGTCCCTGAGCAAAGCAGAAGAAAAAGAGTTGATCTGCGTGAGGGCACAAATTTTGAAGAGCAATTCAACTCAACAGAAATATCTATTGAAATGATTCGAAAAGCATTCTATTGGAAGAAACGGAAAAAATTTTGAAGCTATCACAGTACATTGAGATGTAAAATGAATGGCTAAGAAGAAATGTTTGCAATTATTTAAACCTGGACTCTTTACCTAGCATTGCTACGATCCTGTTAAATAAATTCTACCAGCACCGCTGTTTCCGGTTCCAAACGCGGATGAAGAAAGAGGAATGTTGGGCACCGTGGTGAAATTCATCTGAAACTTACCACCATGCTCACATCGTACTGAGAATCATCGAACGGTATACCGGCACGATTGTCGCCTGGGTTACTTACGGCCGCGTAGGCTGGTGGAAAACTGAGGCAGGCTGCAAAAATTCGGTGATCAAAATCTGTTTCAAGCTTTCTGGCAACTGGGCCAGGGACAGCAACACGGCTACACCTGCCGATGATATCAGTCAGCCGCAAAGTCGCTACCGGTACTGAATGGACGAGCCAGTCAACTCGATGTTATTGCAGTACGCGGGAGTTGTATCGACCGCGGGAGCTCATGGTCAGAAATTGAAGCATGTGTAGCTCAGAGGGAAGGGCAGGTGCCAGTTGATGGGACCGCAAGGAACTGACTGGATATCGTTGGACACGGGTCAACGAGGCTTTAGGGCCCTATAATTGTGAAACTCTGCGAATGGAAGCTATGGGTGTAGACTTTGCGCCTATCGCACATGCAAGTGCTGGTAGAACCCAATGTAGCCGACAGAAAGAGAATCATTGGAAAAAAAACCTTATTAACAAAAAGGTGGTCACACTGCAGCTGAAGCTACAGGCCAAAACTCGGAGGGAGAATTTGAATCCTTCTTGGGCGAAGTAGAAAGCTCTCTTTTCGGAGTTCTGATTCTGCGATGCATAATTGAAATGGGCGGTTTCAAAGAGCAGTTCAAAGCAGATATTAAAAGGCATAAGAGCGTGGCTGGACAAAGCTGCCCAAGCGACAACCTCGACAATAACGGCATGAAATTGTTGTGGTTTTGTGCGAACACTTGACTTTCTCCTCTGAACATCTTCTTCCAGCATCGAAAAGTGTATTAGTATACGCGGTTTAAGACAGCTCGCGCAGAGATGTCAGTGATCGATTTGATAATCGCATCGTCTGACTTGCGACGCTCAATAATTGATGTTTTGTTCATGAGAAACGCAGAGCTGCCAACGATCATCACCTGTTGTTCTCATCATCGGCTGCAAGCGATCAATTATCGAAGACTAGCCGACAAGAAACAGGTCATCACGTAGGAAATAATATCTCTGCGAATACGAGGACGAAGCAGGCAAATCGTCACACGACAGTTTCAATAGATCCCAGTGGTTAGCATAGCATGGAAACCGAATGGAAATGTGCCAACAGAATGGACATGGAAAGAGTGGTTAACTCCGAGTAGCTGCTCAATGCTACGGGTTCAAACAAGTTGTACTCCCGCCTAGCGAGCAGAAACGAATTTCCTGGTGTACAAGAGGTTTAAGAGGTTTGTGTCAGCAAGAAAAAAGTTGTATTCAAGAGGTGACTTGAAAACAAAAGGAATGAAACTCCAATACAGCTCCAAGAAGTTCGTTAGATGGCAGGAAAGCAGTGGCCAAAGCAGAGCTGATTTGAGAGATAAGTTCGATGGGGTGATGAAGTCGATTTTCCTAGCCGCAACTAAACCATTGTGGCAGACCAGCCGCTGGCTCAGAAATAAAATGCAGGAGAGCCTGGGCGACAAAGTACGAGAGCCCTGAAGGACAACTCCGTGCATCCTTAACCACGGTGATTAAGTCAGAGCTCCAGTGATTGGAAGTCGTGGAATAAGACTCAAAACTTCGATTCCGGAAGCAAGCGGTTGAAATGGACTTTCCGAGACGAATCGCTTGGCTCATGTGCGTGGACATGTTTCGGATTTCAAATACTAGACTGTACAGCCGCTGCTTCTGTAGACTGAGAAGGCAGAGCTGCAAGAGCTTGGTTGCATCATGCGGCCGATGGGATAACGATGAATGACCTAGGCAAGTGTCTGGACACAACATGTTTCTAACCCGGAGTCTCCTGGCAGATATGAATTGCTTTCAAAGAATTAAAAATATTGGAGATTCAGTTTAAGTCCGCCGTTGCCGGTCCCAAGCCCGGTTCAGAAAGGAGGAGGGTCGGAGACCGTGGCGGTCTCCATAAAAATTCGCCACCAGCCACTCATTGTATTGACTCCATCGAATATTACACCGGCTCCGTCGTCGCCCTGGTTACCAAGGGCTGTGAAGACTGTTGGGGGGACTGAGGCAGACTGCGAAAAGTCGGCGATCAGAACCTGCTCACCGCCCTCTGCAAGCCGGGGTCGTAGCAGCATAATAGCGTAGGAGGTAGACAGCGCGATGCCACTGCAGCACTCAGAAAAGGTTCCACAAGAACGACACCGCTAGAGTCTAAAACTGGAACATATCCTCACTCAGAGGGAAAGAGCAGCGGTAGGTTCACGAGGCCATAAAGTACCGACTCGGTATTGTGGGACTCTCATCAAAGAAACGCCACGGCTCTAGAGTCTCAACCTCTGCGGCTATAAGCTATTCTACATCACTACGTATGCTCAGGCCCGTGTTGGTGTTCTGGTCGAATCCAACCTCGCAAATAGAATCATTGATTGGAAGCCTGTCAGGGGAAGAGTGATAATCCTCCGACTGAAGCGACAAAAGGCTAAATCGTTGACCTTCGACAGGTCATGCGCCCAGTTCAGGGGGAGAATAGGATACGTTTTTTATAAATACAAGGCGAGCAGTGTGGCTTCCGGAACGGTCGAATCACCTATGACCGTAAATTTGCCTTGCGCCTGATTGGTGAGAAATCGTGGGAGTACGCCCAGCCGATGTACATGTGTTTTGCTGACCTAGAAAAAGCCTTTAACCGGATCCGACGCAATAGTCTGTGTACATGCCTTCGTGCATATGGCATTGATGGCCAGCTGCTAAGGGCTATCCAATCACTGTATTCTGATAGCAGGTGCTTCGTCATAGTTGATTGCGTTAAGTCGAAACCATTCAACGTTCGCATTGGTCTCCGCCAAAGCTGCGTCCTGTCCCCTATCCTGTTTGTGTTGTACACGGATAGAATAGTCAGGAGCTGCCAAGGCGATGAGGGTATTGGTGTCGGAGATGTGAAGTCGAGAGGGTTGCTGCTAGCAGACGACCTTGTTTTATTAGCATCTTCTGAAATTGATCTTCAGTGCTCCTTACTAGGGTTCGCTGCTGAGTGCGACGTGACCGGCATGCGTGTGAACGTATCTAAAACAAAAACATAGTGCTTTCTCGTTCTTCTGCCCGTTGTTCTCTTCAGATCAACGAAGAGGCAGTGGAGCAGGTTGAGAAGTTCAAGTACCTCGGAACAGTTTTTATGAAGAGATCGACCGGCGAATTGGAGTAGCCAGTGAGTTTGGGCGTTAACTAGCCCGACCTATTGT